CAATCTTAAAAAAGATGCCAGTGATGTCAGTGGTGTATTAAAGTCCCCTACTATGATTGTATTGTTGTCTATCTCTCCCTTGATATCTTCCAGGAGTTTTTTTTATGTGTTTGGGTGCTCCTGCATTGGGTGCATATATGTTTACCAGGGTTTTATCCTCTTATTGTATCAATCCCTTTAGTATTATGAAGTGGTCATCCCTATCTCTTGTTATGGCCTTCACTTTGAGGCCTATTTTGTCAGATATAAGTATTACTACCTCAGCTTTTATTTTTCTATTTTGCCTGAAAGATATTTTTCCATCCCTTTGCTTTCAGTCCGTGTGAGTCCCATGTTCTAAAGTGTGTATCTTGTAAGACCGCATATATATGGGTCATGTTTTCTTATCCAATCAGTCACTCGGATGTCTTTTTTTTTTTTAAATATATTTTATTGATATTTTTGCAGAGAGGAAGGGAGAGGAATAGAGAGTTAGAAACATCGATCAGCTGCTTCCTGCACACCCCCCACTGGGGATGTCCCCACAACCAAGGTACATGCCCTTGACCGGAATCGAACCTGGGACCCTTCAGTCCGCAGGCCAATGCTCCATCCACTGAGCAAAACCGGTTAGGGCTCGGATGTCTTTTGATTAAAGCGTTTAGTCCATTTACTTTTAAAGTTATTATTGATGGGTACTTGTTTGTAGCCATTTTTATTTTTGTGTCTGTGTTTCTTCTTCCTTATTTATTTCTTCTTTTTAAACCAGGCCCTTTTTGCATTTCTTGCATTGCTGGCTTGGTAGTGATAAACTCCCTTAGCATTTTTTATTTTGTGTGTGTGTGAAGCTCCCTATTTCCCTTTCAATTCTGAATGATATCCTTGCTGTATAGAGTATTCTTTGTTTCAGTATGTTGCTTTGCCTCACTTTGTAAACTTCCTTCCATTTCTTTCTGGCCTGATGTGTTTCTGTTGAGAAATCATTTGATAATTGAGTGGGGGATCCCTTATAAGTAACTTTCTGTCTCTCTCTCGCAGCCTTTAAGATTCTTTCTTTTTCCTGAACATTTGCCATTGTAATTACGTTGCGTCTTGCTGTGGGTCTTTTTGGGTTCATATTGTTTGGGACTCTGTCTACTTGTTTGACCTTTTTCTTCCCTAAATCAGGGAAATTTTCTGTATTACTTCGAATAGTTTTTCTAACCCTCATTCGTGTTCTTGTCAATCTGGAACCCTTCTTATTTGTGTGTTGCTTTGTTTCATGTTGTCCCAAAGCTCTCCTAGGCTCCCCTCCTGGCCTTTAATTTTTTTCTCCAATTGCAGTTCATTTTGGGCTTGTTTTACTGCACTGTCTTTTAATTTGCTAATTCAGTTCTCTGCTTCTCCTAGTCCACTGTAGAAACTTTCTATAGTGTTTTTTATTGTAGCTATATCACCCTTTATTTCCTCTAGAGTCTTACATAAGTTGTTGATTTTTTTAATCACAATGATATTTTTAACAGGACATGGAGGATACAAAAATAAGAAGATTTCTTGTTATTCTTTATCGACAGTTTTATTCACACATACTTTTCATTGGCTTATAACATCAATCTATTTTTAAATTTTGATGCACACTTCATTTTGAAAAACAAAATAAATATCATATGACTCAGTTTCGCTAAACAAGGAAATGACTGTAAAAATTTATGGCCAAAAAGATTTTGAGAACTTCTAAGAAAAGAGAAAAATCAAAAGCTGTTTCTCTTTTGGAACCCCAAACTCCTTCAGTCCCTTCAGTATCATAAATAGATATTACATTTTATTGGTCTGTCGTACATCAAACCAAATTGTCCAGCTAAATCCTCAGATTGTGATGAATACTAGTCATACTCACCACTAGTTCTATAGCTGTCCTCAGCAACGAGGACCACGGGACAGAGAGATGCATGAAACCTATGGCTTAAAATATCTTGGCTTTGTCCCCAGGTCGCTCTTGTCCCAGGCAGGTCCTTCCTGAGCATCCACCTCACTATCCTCTAAGCAGCTGGTTAAAACTCAGGGATGGGGATTTTTTTCCCCCATTTCCCTGGGGGAAAACAACAATGAGCACCTGTCAGTGAATCAGGAAGCTCTAGAGATTCTTGGCCAGATTTCTGAGCCAGTGGTGGTCGTGGCCATTGTAGGACTGTATCGTACAGGCAAATCCTACTTGATGAACCGGCTTGCAGGACAGAATCACGGTGAGTGGTATCTCAGGCAGAGGACAATTCTTTGTCTCCAGCTATATCACAGTTTCGTAGTTTTCTTCACTAGTCACATAAAGAAAGAGCTAAATTCCTTTCAATAAATCAACCTTCTAATTCTAATTCTTACTAATAAATTATGACCTTAATTAGTGTTATTCAGGCCAGGGCCAATTATTTTACTCTAACTATATCACAGCTTATTAGTTTTCTTCCCTGGTGACATGAAGAGAGAACAAAACTCCTTTCAATAAATGAAATTTCTAAGTCTAATTCTCATCACTAAATTATTAGCTTAATCTATTCTATTGCCATATTTATAGTTTTACTTCTGTTAAGGAAAATCCCTCTTAGTAATGCATAGACTCCTTCTTTTACCTGTGCCAACACTGGGGTCTTGAAATGTGCCTCCTCTCTTGGTCATAACATGTTTTGCTCTCTCTATAGAATTTTGCTTTTCCCATGAATACATAAAGATAATTGCATATCTATCACCATGTTTAAAGATTTTTTTGAGTTCACATCCCATTGTTGTTAACAACCTCTCCCACACCATTTGCCATTTTTATTTTTATCACTTTGATTGGAAAAATATTATCTGAATTTCTTTTTCTTTAGATGTCTCTCTTCTATCCACTTCTATTTGGCCTTTACTGGACCATTCTTTAAAATGCTCTTATTATAGTATTCAGTGACCTTTATTATGTCTGATTCATGGATGCACTTTACCTTGATTTTGAGCTCTTGCTGGATATCATTTTCACTGTTAACATTCATCTCCTCCTTCAAATAGATGACACACAAAGTAAAGCATTCTTATAAAACAGAGAAAGCACCGTCTTATATCTTGGGGTAATTCCACACCAAAAAGTCTGATTTTGTAGCCACTTGGCTGCTTAGATTGTCTGTTGTCACTGTGGCTTGGGTCTCCCCTTCCTTTATAGGTTTCCCTCTGGGCTCCACGGTGCAGTCTAAAACCAAGGGCATCTGGATGTGGTGTGTGCCTCACCCCTATAAGCCTGATTGCACGCTGGTCCTTCTGGACACTGAGGGCCTGGGCGATGTGGAAAAGGTAAGGCAGAGGGTCACAGATAAAATGTTTTCAACCTGGATAGTCTCATAATGAACTCTTTAATTTAACTTGCTTGATCTATTTGTGAAATCTAAAAATTGAATGATATATCAGGCAAATGCTCACTTGTTTGAGTCTTATTTCTAGGTACCGTGTCATGGTACATTGTGTAAAATTTTTATATTTCTCGGCAATGTGTGCATAATTTGATTCAATTGCTAAACACCATATTCCTGGGTCTCTAAGTTAGTACTAGTGACTCATGTAAAAGCCCTGCTCTCAAAAAGTTTTCAGTCCTCTGGTGAAGTTCACCAATTACTCACCAATCATTTTGGAAGACTTTCAGACACCTCTGAATGAGATGGTTCTATAAAAGATGTTTGTCCTACAGCATTTTAAGATGGGTTTTTGATATTTTAGTTTTCTACTAAAGGGTAAAACAAATTATTTCTCTTTTTCTGCTTTAGTTTGAGACTTATTTGGAAATAGGACCTAAATTTCTACAACTTTTTATTTCTACCCAGAGAAGATTTATTAATTTTGTGTTTATTTTTATATATCAAACAGTCTTGCTGTCTGTATAACCTATTGTTTGTCATAAGTGCCACTTCTTATTGTAATCATTTTTTTTAAATTGGGCTTTGGAATATAAATGGACAAATCAGCATTTCCTTTCAAATTTTTGTAGATATTTTCCACTTTTGCTCTGGGGAACAACTTTAGAGAGTGTTTATAATAGAATGAAAAGTCTGTATTGTGCCATTATCTAGACCTACTATATTTTATCCAAACAAATTATCTCCTCCTTAAGGTCCTTCATCTGGTGTCACTAGGCTCACTATCCAGCTTTAACTTCTTGACCTACCCTCTGTTCCAGTCAGATCAAATTATTCTACTTTTATTGAAAAGACTTCTGTATGCGGCCATGTCTACTTTTGCTTCTGTGGGTCTTTCCATGTTCAGGATATCTTCACTTATTCAAATTCACACTCTGCTAAGTCTTTAATTTTCAATCAAGATGCTGAGGAAGACTTTATGTTATGTAAAATTTTCCAAGTTTCAGAGCTCTGGTCTTCCATACTAGACTTGTAAATTTTAAGTTAATACTTTTGAAAATTTAAATTTATTATTGGAAGTATTACATATTTTCCCTTCTTCCCCTCCTATTGACCACATCTTTCTCACACCTATCCCCTCTGCAGCCCTCAGCATGCTTTTGTCAGTGTCCATGTTTTGTGCATATATGCATATAAGTTCTTTGGTTGATATTTTCTCTCCTGCCCCCCTTAATTTACTATTAGAGCTACAGGTTCCAATGCGTATGTACATTACTTTGATGTAGCATTCTATAGATATTATCCTTTTTATATTCCTTGGTATAGATGTTCATCATGGCTTTGAAATAGTGACTTTGAAAGTATTGCGTGATGAGTACATTACCTGATATAAAATGAAGAACTGTTAGATTTAGTGTCTGAATGAATTTCTATAGGGTAAATCCCTGAATGTCTTGCCCTATTATACTTCCAGGGCGACTCTAAGAATGACTCGTGGATCTTTGCCCTGGCTGTGCTGCTATGTAGCAGCTTCGTCTACAACAGCATGAGCACCATCAACCACCAGGCCCTGGAGCAGCTGCAGTATCCTTCCAGGAACCCAGCCTCCATGTGTCATGGCTTCAGTGGGAATGGAGATCCAGTCAGTTTCTCCTTCTCTCTCACTTAGTTGCCTTTGGTAGACCAAAAGGAACCGAGTGAGAGTGTTTATAATACTATATTTTTGTTTGTTTGTTTTTCTGAATAGAGAAATGTGGGAATTGTGGGTAGAAAGTTAATTTTCCTTAGCCAGGTCCTAGTTACGTGACAGAGCTGACAGAACTCATTAGGGCAAAGTCCTCCCCTACACCAGATGGAGTAGAAGATTCATCAGAGTTTGTGAGTTTCTTTCCAGACTTTATCTGGGCCGTACGGGATTTCATCCTGGAGCTGGAGTTAAATGGTCAGCCTATCACAGAAGATGAGTACCTGGAGAATGCCTTGAAGCTGGTTCCAGGTAACAGCATGGCTGGGCAGTGGATGGAAGGTAGTAAATATCATGATTGGAGTTGCATTTGTATTTGAGACTAGAAGTCTGCAGAAATGGTGGCTGGGAATAGGTTGTAAAGCTCTATGGACTGTAGTTTAAGTTCACTTAAGAAAAGTAGAGCCTTAAGTAGAGTAAAACTATTCATAACCAATTTGTTCTTTACACATTGTAATTTAGAATCCAATTGTAACTTTTGAAACTGGTGCTAAAATCTTCTAAAGAGCAGTTACTTACGTTTATTATTTTAGCTTCTGCTTTTCTGTTTTGAGGAAAACAGCTGATCAAATACTTGTTTGGCATAAAATTACAATGAAAAGCCTACTAATGAAAAAAATGTTTTTCATGTAATTAGACATAATTCTTCTAAAATGGGCATATAATTTTCTAATATCTTTATACATATGTTTTTTTTAAATATGTTTTATTGATTTTTTTACAGAGAAGAAGGGAGAGGGATAGAGAGTTAGAAACATTGATGAGGGAAAACATTGATCAGCTGCCTCCTGCACACTCCCCACTGGGGATGTGCCCACAACCAAGGTATATGCCCTTGACCGGAATCAAACCTGGGAACCTTGAGTCCGCAGACTTATGCTTTAGCCACTGAGCCAAACTGGTTAGGGCTATACATATGTTTTTTATAAAAATGACTTTATGTTCTCATAAACCTGAAATAGTATATTTTCTCTTTATCTACCTATTTGTGTAATTATTGATAATTATTAGAATATAATTTTAATTTCTATCAAAGATTTTTATTTTTAAATAATTTTATTTTATTGTTTAAAGTATTACAAATAGTAGTGCTTATGTCTTTTTTTCCTCATTGACCTCCCCCTGGGATCCCTTATCCCCTGGCACATCTCAACACTCTCACCCCCAGTGTCTTGCGTCCATTGGTTATGCTTACATGCATGCATACAAATCCTTTGATTGATCTCTTACCTCTGCCCCACATCCTTCCCTGCCTTCCCTCTGTAGTTTGACAGTCTGTCGGATGCTTCTTTGCCTTTCTATCTATTTTTGTTCATGAGTTTATAATGTTCTTTATATTCCACAAATGAGTGAGATCATGTGGTATTTATCTTTCACTGACTGGCTTATTTCACTTAGCATAATGCTCTCCAGTTCCATCCATGCTGTTGAAAATGGTAAGAGTTCCTTCTTTTTTACAGCAGCATTGTATTCCATTGTGTATATGTAACATCGTTTTTTAAAATATAATTTATTGATTTTTTTTTTTTACCGAGAGGAAGGGAGAGGAATAGAGAGTTAGAAACATTAATGAGAGAAACATTGATCAGCCGTCTCCTGCACACCCACAACCAGGGATGTGCCCACAACCAAGGCACACACCCCTGACCAGAATCAAACCTGGGACCCTTTAGTCCACAGACCGACGCTCTATCCACTGAGCCAAATTGGCCAGGGCTGTAACACCGTTTTTTAATCCACTCATTGGCTGTTGGGCATGTAGGTTGTTTCCAAATCTTAACTATGGTGAATTGTGCTGCTATGAACATAGGGGTGCATATATACTTTCTGATTGATGTTTCTAGTTTCTTGGGATATATTCCAGAAGTGGGATTACTGGATCAAATGAAAGTTCCATTTAATTTCTTGAGGATATGCCATACTGTTTTCCACAGTGGCTTACCCAGTCTGCATTCCCACCACCAGTGAAGGAGGGTTCCTTTTTCTCCATATCCTCTCTAACACTTGTCATTTGTTGATTTGTTGATGATAGCAATTCTGGCAGGTGTGAGATGGTACCTCATTGTTGTTTTGATTTGCATCTGTCAGATGATTAGTGACTTTGAGCATGTTTTCATATGTCTCTCAGCCTTATAAATGTCCTCTTTCAAAAAGTGTCTATTTAGGTCCGTTGCCCATTTTTTGATTGGATTGTTTATCTTCCTTTTGTTAAGTTGTATGAGTTCTTCGTAAATTTTTTAGTTTAAACCGTTATCTGAAATAGCATTCGCAGATATGTTCTCCCATGCAGTGTCTTATTGTTTTCCAATGTTCATTCTTGCTGATTTCTACAAATGCAAAGTTTTGTGCTGTTTTGACTCCCCTCTGATTCCCGTGAAATCTATTCTTTCTGCTCTGAACTGAGGCCCGAGGACAGTGATGGTGAACCTATGACATGCCTGTCAAAGGTGACACGCGAACTCATTTTTATGTTTCATTTTTCTTTGTTAAATGGCATTTATATCTAACATATATTAAAAATATAAATCTTTGTTTTACTATGGTTTTGATATATACTATAGAAATATAAAAAAAATTTCTATATGTGACATGGCACCAGAGTTAAGTTAGGGCTTTTCAAAATGCTGACACGCTGATCTCAAAAGGTTCGTCATCACTGCCCTAGGAGCTTATCGATGAAGATATTGTTATGACAAATGTCTGCTACTTTAGTGCCTATGGCTTCTTTAATATTTTTATGACTTCGCATCTTATCTTTAAGTCTTTGACCCATTTTGAGTTTACTTTTGTGTGTGGCATAAATTGGAGGACTAGTTTAATTTTTTTGCATGTATCTGTCCAATTTTCCCAACAACATTTATTGAACAGACTATCTTGACTCCATTGTATGTTCTTGCCTTCTTTGTCAAATATTAATTGACCATAGTGACTTAGGTCAATTTCTGGGTTCTCTGTTCTTTTCCACTGGTCTATATGTCTGTTCTTGTGCCAGTACCAGGCAGTTTTGAAAACAGTGGCTTTGTAGTGTAGCTTGATATCTGGTATTGAGGTCCCTCCAACATTGCTCTTCCTTCTCAAGATTGTTGCAGCTATTTGGGATCTTTTTTTATTCCAGATGAATTTTTGGAGAGTCTGTCCTAGGTCTTTGAAGTATGTGGTTGGTATTTTAATGAGGATTGCATTGGATTTATAGATTGTTTTGAGTAGTTTCGTCATTTTAATGATGTTGATTCTACAAAATCCATGAACATGGTATAATCTTCCATTTGTTCATGTCTTCCTCTATCTCTTTTTTCAGTGTCCTGATATTTTTTGAGTACAGGTCCTTTATCTCAGCGGTTCTCAACCTGTGGGTCATGACCCCTTTGGGGATCGAACGACCCTTTCACAGGGATCGCATAAATACATCCTGCATATCAGATAGTTACATTACTATTCATAAGAGTAGCAAAATTACAGTTATGAAGTAGCAATGAAAATAATTTTATGGTTGGGAGTCACAACATGAGGAACTGTATTAAAGGGTCGCGGCATTAGGAAGGTTGAGAACCACTGCTTTATCTCCTTGGTTAAATTTATTCCTGGGTATCTTAATTTTTTTGTTGCAATGGTAAATGTGATTGCGTTTTAAATTTCTCTTTCTGTGAGTTCATTATTTGGGTATAGAAAAGCCATATACTTCTTGGTGCTAATTTTTTATCCTCCTACTTTGCTGAATTCATTTATTAAATCTAGTAGTTTTTTTATGGAGTCTTTGGGGTTTTCTATGTACAATATCATGTCAACTGTGAATAAGGACAGTTTTACTTCTTTTCCTACTTGGATGCATTTTATTTCTTCTTCCTGTCTGATTGCAATGGCTAGTACTTCCAGTACTATGTCAAACGGGAGTGGTGAGAGTGGGCATCCCTGTCTTGTTCCTGTTCTTAGCGAAAATAATTTTAGTTTTTGCCCATTGAGTATGATGTTGGCTGTGGGTTTGACATATATGGCTTTAATTATGTTGCTGTATCATCCTTTTATTCACACATTGCTGAGCATTTTTATGAAAAAGGGTGTTGGATTTTGTCAAATGATTTTTCTGCATCAATGGATATGATTATATGGTTTTTCTCTCTCAGTTTTTTTATGTGATGTAACACGTTTATTGATTTGCGGATATTGAACCATCCTTGCATCCCTGGAATATATCCCACTTGGTCATGATTTATGATCTTTCTAATGTAATGCTGAATTTGATTTGCTAATATTTTGTTGAGAATTTTCGAGTCTATGTTCATGAGGGATATTTTCCTATAATTCTGTTTCTTTGTGTTGTCTTTATCTGGTTTTGGTATGAGAGTAATGTTGGCTTCATAGTAAGAGGCTGGAAGTGCTCCTTCCTGCTAACTTGTTTGGAATAGTCTTAGGAAGATAGGCTTTATTTCTTCTTTGAATGTTTGACAAAATTCCCCTGTGAAGCCGTCTGGTCCAGGGTTTTTGATTATTGGAAGTTTTTTTGATTACTGCTTCAATTTTCTCCATAGTTATCAGCCTATTCAGATTTTTTGATTCCTCCCGGTTGAGTTTTGGAAGGTCATATTTTTCTAGGAATATATGCATTTCTTCTATTTTGACCAGTTTGTTGGAATAGAGTTGTTCATAGTTTTTCTTCGTAATCCTTCATATTTCTGTGGGTCCTGTTGTTATTTCTCCTCTTTCATTTCTGATTTTGTTTATTTGGGTCCTCTCTGCTTCTTAGTGAGCTTGGCTAACAGTTCATCAATCTTGTTTATCCTTTCAAAGAACCAGCTCTTAGTTTCATTGATATTTTTGTTGTTCTTTTTGGTCTCTATGTCATTTATTTCTGCTCTGATCTTTATTATTTCCTTCCGTCTGCTGACTCTGGACTTTTCTTGTTGCTCCATTTCTAAGTCTTCAAGTTGCAGAGTTCGATGGTTTAT